GTCTTCCTGAAAAAGCCCCTCACGTATGCGATTGTCAGCGATCCCAGTGATCAGTTGCTGAGTGAGCATACAGCCTTCAATCTTTTTCTGTGGAATAGACGAGTAGGCACACGGTCGTACTGCTCGACTCAGCCGAGCAATGAAATCATTCAAGGATTCGCCTGCTTCTTGGTGTATTCGGGAGAATATATATCGCGCGGTAAACACGTTTATTTGGTAACACCATGCACGGTCGAGAGCATTGAAGACGTCCATAACCGATTTGCATCCTTGGAGACCCAAATCATCGAATTGCCGCTGTCCCTCATCTCCGAGTAAATGTCGAAGCAGCTTCAATCTTTTATCCTCACTAAGAGCAGTAGGGAGATCGCTGATTAGATCCAAGTAGTTTAGGAAGGATGTTTTCCAACGGAACCAGGCATCCGATGTCGGTCTGCTGCCGCAATCAGTCCAAAATGAAGATGGGGGTTGGATGGAAAGGTTCATTTTTGCCTCCGCGACGCCACAATGTTGTATCAAGAAAGCCGTAGGAAAGGTAAAATGTATCCCGCAAAATTAACCAAGTACAACTGAGTCAATCCCTTGTGAAACGGAGAGTCAAGCGACAGACACACGGACCAATAGTAAGGTAGGAATGAGTCAGCAAGCCAACCAATGAGATCGAGCCAATCGATGCTGCTCACATGGTTACCACACTGCCATTGCACGAAGACCCGGATTCGGGTCTATGGAGTAGGAACAAAGGAATTCGACATCAATACTGGAGCCTGGCAAGGTTGCCCACTTTCTCCAGTGTTATTCAACTTCGCAGTCGGCTGGGTTATCATGTTCCTGAGGGCTATCGTGGTGTTCAAATTAGCCCTGACTTCTGGCTGTCAGGCCTAGAATTTGCTGACGATATCATTATCCTTGCCCTACAGTCACTGCTAAATCGAGTCGACCAATCAGCCTCTATGATCGGCCTCGAAATTAACATCAGCAAGACGAAGTACTTCTCATCGTCAGCCACGTAGCCCGCCTCGGCGCTCTCCTTACATGGATAACTCATCGAGCATGTTCCTGAATTCAACTACCTTGGATCCACTATTCTCCCCAGTGGTCAGACTGCATCCGAAATGGTATTGACAGCGCCAGAACAGCCTTCTCACAACTGAGAAACATGTTGTGGCGAAGAACGGAAATCAGGCTGAGAAGGAAAACCCGGGTTCTCACAGGAACCATTCGTGTCATCTTACTCTGTGGTTGCGAACCATGGCCGCTGCGATCCGAAGACACCCGGAAGCTGGAAGTCTTCGATAATTGGTATCTAAGGCTTATCTTGAAAATGCAGTGGCATGAGCGTATCACCAATGACGAAGTTCGTATGCCTCGTAAGGGTCTTTCGAAGCTCTCAGCGGTCATCTAACGCCGCAGACTTCAGTGGTTCGGTCACGTCCTCTGCAGACCAGACAATGACTTCACTAAGGCCGTGGTCTCGCCCTCACTTTGTCACAGCTGGTGTCTTCGCCGTGGTGGACAATTGAAAACGTGGCTTACTGCAGTGAAATCGGATGTCGAACTTCTGGGACTCCAGGTTGTGCATGGTGCTCGTCACTGAAAACATCAATGGATCAGTATCTGCGTGGAGTTTGCCGCCGACCGACGCGCTTGGATTGCTACAATTCCCGACATTTATGAAGCCGGCTCATCTTGTCGCAGGAGCTAGTCGCAGTAAAGTAAGCGCTAGCGCAAGGTTCGGGATGTCCGCAGGCAGCATCTGCGAGATGCTCGACTACAACATGAAGTTGAGCTTGCTCGTACAGCCTCATGTAATCCCAAACGCTTTTTCGCTCATGTCAAAAGGGAGGCAACATAAATTCGTCTATCCCGGTGTTGTTTGGCCCCGATGGCGTTGCTGTCGTCCCAGAGCATGACGAAGCTTGTTTACTCGGTGAAGAGTGCAGATGAGTATGTTCGATAGTCTCAGATGCCGCATATCAGCCTGCAGGCAAAAGTTCCTGAAGGCTGTTTCCTGGAGGAGGTTTCCATATCAAAGGCTTAAGTGCTCTGGCTTCTAGTGGTATTAAATCCCAATAAAGCTGCTGGGATGGATGCTATTTATCCCAAAATTTTGTACGAGTTGGCTGACGAAGTTTGTCCTCCGATTACGCTTCTCTCTACCCACCGACTTGAAGGCGGATATTGCATGTCCTAATTTTAACTAAGGTGACAAACACCTCCGTGAAAAGTATAGGCCATCATTTTGACGAGCGTGCTGGTCAAGGTGTCGAAAAAACATGTGAGGAGCGCTCTCGAAGGACATGTAAGAGCGTTTGGGTTGCTCAACCCATCTCATCACGCTTTTCTTAAGGGTTATTCTTGCCTTACTAACTTGTTGGTGGCTCGAAAACACAGGAGCGAAGCCGTCGAGCGAGGGAAGGCAGTGGACGTATATGCATTGACTTTTCCGAAGCTTATGACACTGTTCCGCATTTGCGCAATTTGTACAAGCTGCAATTCTACGGTATTGCTTGTCTTACGATGGATTTCAGCTTTCCTAACCGGACGAGAGGAGTGTTCGTACGGACCTGTCTTTTCGACGATGAGTTCTCAGTGAGGTCCCGTAAGGTTTAGTTCTTGGACCCTTCTCTTCACTTTGAACGCTAACGCCTTACCTGATGAGCTGGGAGTATCATCCCTAATGTTTGCCGATGAGTTAAAGTTCAGGTTCACAGTTAACGATCCGCGTGGTCCACTGAGTCTACAAAAAGCTCTGGATAGACTTTGGGACTGGTCCCGTTTTTGGCAGTTGTCCTTGAACCTCGCGAAATGTTCGGTCCCACGCATAGGATCAAACGACCCACCGAAGCGTTACTCGCTTATCGGCAACCAGGTACCACGAGTTCACCTACGATCTGACCTTGGAGTTTTGATGTCCTTAGACTTTAAGTCCAGTGAACACTGGACGACAACTGCCCACAAAGGTTTCAACATGTCGTGGATGATCTGCAGGTCATTTGGGATCATGACAACCGAAAAGTTTATTAGACTATTTTCGGCTTTTGTAAGGCCGCACTTGGAATACTGTGTACAGGATTGTCCCCTTGCCTCGTTCGTGACAGGAGAGCAATTGCACGGGTCTTGCGATCTGGGGCGAAATGGTGCATGGGTTAAAGAACCTGACGTACCCTGAGAGGATACGTAAGTTTTCCGTGCATTACAGGCGACTTCGGGGCGACTTGGTTCTCGCATATCCCATACTAATGGATCAGACTGGTCCTGATTTAACTGGACTTTTCCACTCAACTCGAGTGCCAACTCTTCGTGGCTACCCATTGAAAGCGAACAAATCCCGATCTGACCGGGTTGGGGCAGCTTTTGGGTTGTCACGTAGGGTCATATGTTATTGGAACACTTGCCGCAGAAGTTGTAATGGTACCGACGGTGAAAGAGTTTGAACATCGACTTGACGCCCTCGGCAATTCGACATTATAACAACAAGGTTTTACTAGAGAACTGTTGTAACCTAATCTTTTACTAACCACACATATATTTGCTACACAATGGCTGGTAAGACAATAAACCAAGTCAACTGACAATTTTACCAGTTGTACTAACATTCAAAAGCTACGGCCAGCATATAATTGATACACTAACTATGAACAACTGCAAACTAAGGCCAACCAACACCACACAGTGTTCCTTCTGTTCTTCCATTCTTAATTTGTGGGGGCATGAAAATACATTAATTGGAATACATGCCTCTACTTTTCTGCGGCACCCAAGCACGACGGAGCATTATTTTTGAATCCAGCACCTAAGAAGCGCTCTTACGGAACGATGGTGATACCGGTTTGGGCGCAGTCAGCCAATCACAGGTCACACATAATCGCTGAACATCAAACAGTGCTTGCGCGGCTAACAACCAATGAGACTAAAAAATTAACAGCACAGGCTTGCGGCATAGTTGTGGACTGTTAAAATTCACATGATTTTTAAAGGCCTCAACTCGCTTGCCTCGCATCCATATTCATGGTGCCTTTTGAAATTCATTAAAAGGTGATTGGCTATTTCAAGGTGGAAAAATATGCTGAATTAAGTAAAGCATATCGATTTTCTGTGAACGATGCACTTTCATCCAGTTTTTTTATAAAAACTGCAATTTGGGCCGCTAGATGATTAATTTACGGCATCTGTTGTACGGACTGCAGGTGTGTGCAGAGAACCGCGTGTTTTACATGCTTGCTATAGTGCATACGCTCTCGAAGGTTTACTATGATGTCATACTCAACGGGATAGTTCTGCAAAACATGTGATGGATAAGGTGGAATCAAACAACACATGATCAACGGGTGATGATTTAAAAATGATCGGGAAAATCGAAAGCGACCGCAGTTGCGACTACGGTAGATTAAATGAGTGGTCACAATTGGTGGCTATAGCACGCTTCCATCCTTCACATTCGAGTGTGTGTGTCCAGTTTGGCACAAACCCGCGGAGTTGTGAAGGTTACCTGAACTGGTCTCTAAGCTACCAGGATTAGTGCTTCATGCAAGCGGCTGAGTTAGAACCAAAAGTCAACTATAGAGCAAGAAAGAGATGATTATTAAACTTCTGTTTTGATACTTAGGGGTTTAGATGGGTTGCGACGTTAGAGTGCAGTTGTGGTTGGCTGAAGAGTGATATATGCAAAAGTTACACACAAAAACAGTGCCTGCGCTATAAATTCGTCACATCCAGATGAAAATCCGCGGTTACAGAAAGTCAAAAGCGATTTATAGCGGCAACGCATGGCTTGATGGTTTCAACCACATTAAACTACATAGCACTCGTTTGTCCAATATGTGGAGTGCTCAAGTCATTATCTATACCCTAGTAAGGTCTATTGAGGAACACACGATTCCGAAGCATATCGGACAAAACGCTAGTCAGTGACGTCCGCGAAGTATGGAGTGTGGACGCAGTCATGCACAGGAACCAAGGCTTAGATGGACCCCTATGGGAGGGAAATAACACAATATGGAAGGAAAGGATAATACATTTAAGACTTGAGCCACAAGAAAAAAAACAGGTGCCTGTAAATTTGGAATTGGACGCCAGGATAGGCGCTAAAAAGGAATCAGACGAGAGCGTCATGTAAAAAAAGAGGACAGACGGGAAAAAAGAACCGAGTTTGATAAGTGTTGCTACTTCAGCTATACAGGTAAGAAAAAAGAGCCTGCAGAGACGTGGGGACTCCACTTCACGATGGAGCATTACCTGAAATCGGAGTTACAGCCAGTGCAATGAAGCGGAGTCGGAAGTGCGAAAGATTTGGCAAGGTAAAAAGAAAACCGGAGAAACAAACGTGAGAAAAATGTCAAGAAAAATTAAGGTAAGTAGATCAGGCCGCACGGGACATTTGATCTAGCACGCGCAAAGAACACTACGCATGACACGTAGTAAGGGAAAGTAGCTACGATCCAAGAATTGGAATCACCCATGGTAGAAGCCATGACATGTGGAAAACAAGGCTGAGCACTTTCGTACGCGGTGGCAAAATGGATTAAAGTGCCACATGACAATCCTATCACTTGGATGCAAGTTGCAGCAAATCCGTTGATTCTTTCGCAAAATAAACGACATCCGGATCTCCGTCTGCACCCAACATATCTAAGGAAGGCTTAACGATGGTTTGGATAGAATTCACATCTAGTAGAGGTCCCAATTTTCCCAAAATCTGGCATACCTGAGGAAAGTAAAACAAAAGGACAAGTCGTTATCGGTTGTCAGATAGTATCTAAAAGCATCAGACAGAAAAAGGAATAGGCGAAAGTGGAAGAATTTGTACGAATTGTACACGGTTCGACTTAAACAGTAGGTGAATAGGATCGACTAAGAGAAACAGTTGGCAAGCGTAGGAGAAGTCAACCAATTTGTCTGTACTGCTGTGTAGAGTTCGCCTGAAATTTAGCTGGAATCCCGCAAGAGAAGAAGCGTGTACTTCGAGGTCAGAACTCACAGAAATGCTGACAAGATTTGTGAGGTTTGAGACCTGGGTGGGACTTCATACTAACGCAGATAATGGCACTCGTTAAAAGATGTGCAACGACCGATGTAGTTATAAAATTAGAACTTTACCAAATCATTAATGCTATGGCACATTCATACGAAACAAACGGCATAAAACGCCTGATGCTTATGGTAGTACCATGCGTAATGAAGAAAACGTTAAAACTGCGGGCGCTAATATAATGACTAATGAGCTCACTTTGAAGCGCACATTCGGCACCGGATCGTGACTAAGCTGAATGATAGTCGGTAATAGGTGCTTCTGGAGCAGTTCGGGGCGACAAGAATCTGCCCCACCAAGCTCTTGTAATGACGCCAGACAAATCATTCGCCGGAGATAGTTCGAATCGCCGGCGAGTTGAACAAGCTGCAGGATAGGAATGGCCATCGTAGAAATGAGGTTATGAAAAAACAGTCTCATGCATACGTAGCACATGAAACAAACTGAATTCCGGTGGAGTTGATGCATAAAACATGGAAAGAAAAGGAGACCAAAGTTCATCCTAAGATGAAATGGCTTATCGAGCAGAGTTTTGCAGGTTGGTGAGCAAAAATTCGGTCTGTATATAAACGGTGTATCAGGAACACGTTGGTGAGAGCAAGTAGCTGGATAACAAATTAATGACGATAACTTGGGAGAATATGAAAGCAGTAAAATGTCTATAACAATAAGAGCACTAAAGACGAACCGAACTGAAGGGGCGTATGAGAGGTAATAAAACGAATGGGGATAGCTTTGAACCTTGAGGCCAGTCAATAAAAGAACGATAAATGGTCGAAGACACTGAATTAGGGTTAGTAACGGACAGATGGACGATGTGCTTACTCGAGGTATGACTTGTGTAGACGCCCATTCAATGCCGAATAAATCCATAAGTTTCCTGAGGTTAGTCACCGCGGCTTCACGCACAGCGAATACGTCGTCAACTAACCACCCGAGGCATAAACTTGTTAGGCGATCGTCGAAGCACTGTAAACCCAGTTGGCCGGCTAGCAGTGGCATGTACTCAATAATCGCCAGGCGAACGCGCCATTTCGCGTCTCCAGCTAATTCCACGATGGCCGGAAGTAGACTCTGGCTGAGTTGAGTGACGCCCATTATTTGATTAACACACTCCAGATTGGATATTATGTTGAGGCGAACCTGTGTACACACAATAAAACCAACGTAAACGAGTAGCTACCATCAGATACATACCAAATGAGGCCGAAGAACAGAATGACATAAAGGAGATGTGTGTGTGGTGGGTACCTTTCCTTGCAGTGTTAACTTTAAAAAACGATACATACTAAGCTGATAAAAGCAGACGGGTGATAGGCTTCAATGGTGGAGATAAAGCCGGTTCGTGAGTGTGTAAATGCTGATGAGTGTGTAAATTTCCCCACAGGTATTTGCTAATACCATGCGACCAAGCCAAACTGGATGGGAGCAAGACACTGTGAGCATTCGGTCAAATGTAGCGCGATGGCTTAAAGCACTCGGGCGAATATAAGTAAGTGACACAACAGTCCAAATCAAAGAGACGTTTTATGCAAGTAAGAAGAGACAGATTTTACCGATGGTTTAAGGATGTCCCAATACAGCGATAAATGAGCAAAATGTAGGTCTGCGGGAGTTACTCACATCAGGGTTTTCGTCTTTCAACTGTAAAAGGAAGAGAGGAAGCAAGTGTTCCAGTGTATTTTCTTTACCCAGCAAAGGAGCCAAGGCCATCATAACCCCAGCAAGTGCAGTTTTTACTTGCAAATTGGTTTCCCCAACCATCTCACGTATGATAGGTAGTAGATTGTTCATAATGACTGATTCACATATATCAGGAGAAAGTGAAGTGGCGAACTTCTTCAATTTTCCTGCGGCTGCTGCACGAACCTCCCCTTCGGGATCCTTGAGAAGAAGCTAGATAGATTTAAATAGATAAAGTATTATTGGTCAACAGTCAAATGTGAAAACCAAATTAGTCTGATTACTTGATAGTACAGACATAGATGATCAATGGTAAGGTGGGATATCGTTCTACGGAATATAGCTAAACAGAATGTGACAAACAGCCACATAACAAACTTCAAGCGCATATGAGCTGCGCCACTAACGTTAACAGAAAAGCAAGAAAAAGTGTATTGGCAGCACGTCCGCATGGTAAATAGATAAACAAATGGAAAACAGCTGTCTTTGCGGGTACGGCATGAATTCTAAGTAAAAAGAATACAATGGAAAAGCCATAATCCTTTAAACAAGTTGAAGAGTGAAGGAAAAAGAGGAAGCAATTCCATAAAAGAATTTGTAAAGAAAAAGCGGACCAGAAGACCAAAAGGACAGCGCAAAATATAGTTGGCGGCATCTGATTTCGGATTTGCCTTTCACCAGCCTTCATCGGGAGAAGAATAGGACGCGTGCGCCTACAGAGGGACCATGGGGGGCTTGCGTCGCACCAGCCACAACTCCATCCATACACCCATATCCAGTGTAAATCCGAAGAAATAAAACCGGGAGGTGGTTGGAGAGGAGCCACGTTCCCTCAACAGAGCCGACCCACACTTATTCAACAAGCAGAACAGAAACATTTATGTCTAGCTAATTTGGGATTAATGCACACCAGACGTACAAATGGCAGTGGCTAGGCCGTAGCCCGTTCCACATAGGATGAAACCACTCTTTGAGCTTAACACGGCCTACAGGACCGCCCAGAATAGCTTAATGGGTCAAAGACGTACACAAATCGTCGCACCACGTCAAGGTCAAGTCTCGTTGCGACGGCCCAACAGGCCTCAGTGGAGTATATATATATATTTGCAAAAGTCTGATAACAGACATAATGCCATCAGAAACCATGGGATTCAAACGAAGGTACAGAAACAGTAAACTAAAACACAACACAACAATGTCCATGGTTTCCTCAGAGGGCGAGATACTACCCGGTTGCCCAAGCCGAAGTAGGGTGTTGACTTAGGGGACACCACCCCGAGCCTTTGGCTTAATAGCCTGCCCGCAAGGCAGCGGAGCGAATTCAGGGAATCGCGCCCATTGGGAGCCGGTGGAGAGTATCATTCAACCGTGTATATATATATATACATATATATATATATATATATATATATATATATATATACATATATATATATATATATTTATATGGGGCGCTCCTCAAACCTGACGTTTTATGATCGCTGTCGAAAACTCCAGCTAGATATACTTTGGCTGAGTCGATTAAAGAACAACCTCGTTCTCTTCTACAATATTATAAATCAACGAATTTACGCAGACAGCACCGCACTTGAACTACGGAAGACTGCAGTCCAACCCACACGTAATGGCGGCTACCTGATACGTACAAACCTTTCAAGTCAGAAAATTCGGTCGAATTTCTTCTTAGTGAGATACACTTATCTGTGCAACAAACTACCCCTACAGATACGCATGTGTACAAGCCATGTCACGTTTCGAAATCTCCTTCAGACCTTCCTTCCTATATCAAATGTTTTGAAGATATTTGACTCACAGCAAACATTAGAAACATTGACAGAAGTTGGTTTAAAAACTATATGAGAAGATAATCGCTTACAGCTAGATTACCCACTACATATCATTACATACCATACCAAATCCTGTGTCTTTGCAGCCTAGTAGTCCCTTTATTATCTACTCCTGACGATACAAACATCCGTAAATTTTACATGTGAGTTGCACGGGTCTAGGACTCAAGGAAAAATAATCATGATCCAAAATGCTATCAATAAACTTTTCTTTAATGTAATGAAACGTATTCACTATACAGATGATCGCTCCCAGTTATGGGGCCGTGTACCGTCTGTCGGTAAATAAACAAATTTATTTAATTTATATATATATATATATATATATATATATATATATATGTACATGTAGATAACGAGCCGCGACCACCATACCTGAACGAAGTCCGCCTGCAATGTTGGCTTCGACGAAATGAATGATGAAACGGTTGAGCAGGATTCGGGCGATCAACTTCCCCACACAAAGCAGCAAGTTAATGGCAGAATAATTAGTGTAACACTGCTTCTCCCTTCGCCCTTGTACAGTGGCAGAACAAGGGCATCCTTCAACTCAGCCGGCGAGTCCGTAGTGTTTCAACACTCGACGGCATCCCATCGGAACCGGCACACTTGCCGTTTCGCAGCTGAGGAAGTGTTCTCTGCGTCTCATCCAGTGATAATGTGTCGGCAAGAACCATTCCTTGTAGTTGCAGCCTGTGTAACGTGGTCCAATCTCTGAACCGTTGTTCAAGAGATAGCTTAAGTGCTTTTGCTGAATCTGCATTATTTCTCCAGTCTGTGTACAGGCAGCGCCTGAAATAGCAAGGAGCAGCGTCTTCATCAGCAACAAGGTAGATCCATACATCGTCTCAAAAGAGTCAAAGAATTCCTTGTGTTGGCGGCGTTCGGCGTAGCATTCCATCTGCTACTCCTTCTCTGTCCACAATGAATTTTTAATGCGACGCAGCTCTCGGGTCAGTCGCGCTCGAATTTTGCGAAACTGACTCCTCTTCACCAAGTCACTGGGGTCTGCCACATGTGCACCAAATGCTGCATTCTTCTCACACACCAATGCGCCGACCGTCGCATTGTTCTCATCAAACCAATCAGGCCGCTTACAGTTTGCGCGTCTGATGGTCTCCTTGGCAGCAGCTGTCATCTGGTTGCGAACGTCGTGTCTCAGGTCGCCCACTGTGGATATGTATTCCACATCACACAGGCGTGCAGCCATCGCCTTCTCCAACTCAATACGTTTCTTCATAGTACCGAGGGAGAGAATGTTAAATTTATGCCGATTCACGGCAAGAGTGAAATACATATATTTGCGAAAATATATGTACAGTTTGGTCCGCATCAATTTGTGATCAGTGCCACACTCAGCACCGCAAAGTACACGTGTGATGCGCACTTTAAGCGCATCAGGCTGACGTACGATGACATAGTCGAGCAGGAGAGCATGACCATTCCGTGGGTGAGTCCAAGTTGCTATATCACTCGCACTCAGTGCAAACGGTATTCGTGATCGTCAGGCCGTGAGTGGTACATGGTGAAGGCAGCCTGTCACCGTTCGCATTCGCTGCACCAATGCCATGCGAGCCGATAACATCTGCCCCCACCAATGCATAACGCTCAACGCGCGCGTTGCAATCACCCATCAGAAATAGTCGGTCCTTCCTCCGCACAGACTGTATCAAGGAGGATAGCCGAGTGTAGAACTGATCACGCGTGTCGTCAGGATAACACGTGCTTATATAAGTGGCAAACTTACCACTTCCGAGTCCTACGCAAGCAGCCATCAGTCGCGCGCTGATGCCAGTCGGCGCACCCCCCAGCTGGCCATAGATACGATCGAATATTGCAAATCCAACCCCATGATCATGTGGAGCTGAGGCGGCCTTACCCACCCAGTAGAACGTGCAGCCAGCACCTGCTTCATGCAACTTACCTTGCTCAGCGAGCCGAGTCTCACTGAGCACCGCAATACCGATGTGTTAACGCGCCAGTTCCATCGCGACCAGTGCAGCGCCTCGCTCGGGGCGTTCACTCGAGTTCCGGTCCAGTAGTGTGCGTAGGTTCCAGCACCCGATGCTGCGTGCTTTGTGCGCAGGCATACGGTTGCATCGGTGGGCAATTGCACGCGAGGTGACGGTGGTGCTTCGGAGGTTTACTTGAGGAACTCCGCCCGGAGCCTTTGGCTCAATAGCCTGACCCACAAGGCAGTGCGTGGTTTGGAGGTTTGCTTGAGGGACTACACCCGGAGCCTTTGGCTCAAGAACCTGACTCGCAAGGCAGTGGGGAGCAGATCGAGCTCGGGAATGTGATTGCAGAGACAGATTGGGATCTGCTTGACGGCCGTCACATGCAACCTTGGAGGTACTGGAACGATGTATATATGTTTTGCGATCGTCTTAGGATACGCATCTGCGACCACGGCCAGATGCAGATGGGTTTTGGCAGGTTTGCACCAATTTGACCAGAGGCTGCCTGGCTTGAGGCAGGCAGTAGCAAATCATTGAACACCCGGAGGTGCACATCCACCGTAGAAACAATGCGTGGCGCTCGTGCTCTACGCGAATTAAGCTGTGAGCTTATAACACGTAGATCTGTTGTCTCCCATAGCTAGGTTTTAAGGAAAGAGAGTCATTGACCATTTTTTAACCTTCGACGTGGATGGACTAGAATACTTGCAGGGCGCCCACACCTGACAGGAGAACGACTCGTGTCCTCAGCCAATGCCTTCGATTGAATGTACACCCGAAAGGCAGCGGGTCTAGCACATGGTCAGTTCACTGACTCATGCGGATTGGTATCCTGTATCTCAGCAAGGAGAAGGGCGAAACCCGACTCCCACCCAGCGGTCGCCACGAGGAGGCGTCCGGGACATGAGCCAATGGCGCAACAGCAACAGCAGTGGGTAGATCATCTGTCAGGATCTAGCCACCACCAACCTCAGCGCATCATAGGCTCTCCCGCTTATATATATATATATATATATATATATATATATATGTATATATATATACATTTATATATATATATATATATATATATCCGGTTTCGGATTTGCCTGTCACTGTGGCCAGCCGCAGGACGCCTGCGAATATAGAGAGACCATGCGTGGCTTGCGCTGCACTACCCACAGCTCCAACCCCACACCCCATATTCAGTGTAAACTTGAAGGAATAAGACCGGGAGGCATGTGGATGGGAGCCACGTTTCATCAACGGAGCCGGCCCACACTCCTTCACAGCAAACACAAGCACACTGTATTTGGGAATCAAGCGCACACAAGGCGGTGGCTGGACCGTAGTCCGTTACACATTAAGTGCATGGAACCACTCTTCGAGCCTAGCACGGCCACAAGGACCGTGCACCCCGTCCCCTCCAGCAACGACCAACTATCTCCTGGAGCCAGTATGGACGAGGTAGCTGGTAATAGACAGGAAGGCACCTTGTCAACATGTACATCAAGCTCAGCCACACCGGGGATATCAAACAACAGCCAATCATTTGAGAGAGAGAGAGAGAGACAAAGAAAATAACTCGATTAATGCATAAGGAAACGGTGAATTAAACCTAAGTTAATGAGCATATGAAACAAGTTGTTTACAAACGAATCCTAGATAAGTTCACGAGGTCAGAAAGTATACTCTCTGCAGGACCCATCGTCGCTTCTGTAGTGGTCCCGAGTGACCTCGATCATGGCTCACTAAGCCTGTCTGACTCAGGCACTCGCGACTGCATGTGCTACAGCACCATGCGCTTGATGTCGATGGAGAACAACCCATCGGTGCTTGACGCTTCCGCACCTGCCGCTTCTTCTCTGCATGCATGAGGGCTTTCTCCTGCACCTCGGCAACTGCCTTCGTGATCAGATCGCGCCATGTACGCCGATCAACCGCCATTAATTCCCATGATCTGCAATCAAGATTAGAACGTCTGAGGCTCACTTTAATTAGGTGCTGGTATCGTAACTTTGGTTTCCCCACGTGCCGCTTCCCTATACTCAGCTGACCACTATATATATATATATATATATATATATATATATATATATATATATATATATATATATATATATATATATATATATATATAATTACTGCAAACGCAGACACCACATCGATCAGTATGGCATACGGCCTCTAGACGATAGAGTCCACACTATGAAGCTTTCCATTCCCTACTACGTTGGACGCTATTTGTCGTTTTAACGGCATGATCAACTTTTACCGACGCATTATTCCACACTGTGCCGACTTGTTGACTCTACTGGTCGATCAGTTTGGTGGACGTAAAAACCGCAAGATGGTATTGAGTGCTGCTGCTCCTGGAGCATTCAAGGCTAGTAAAAAGGCCTTGACCGAAGAGGTTATGCTTCACCAGTTTGATACAAGCACCCTATGCAGAGTTATTGTTGATGCATCGGACACCGCCATTGTAGTCGTCCTACAGTAACTTACCGGTGGATTTTAGAAACCATTTGCTTACAACCTGCGGAGATCAAGTACAGCACTTTCGATTGTGAACTGCTGGCTATCAATCCTGCATTTCGACATCTCCCGCATGTCCTTATAGGTAACACCTTCATTAGCTTCACCGACCATAAGCCGCTTAGCTACACCTTCAGAAATCAATCAGCCCGACCCTCACGACGTGAGGTCCGTCAGCTAGATTTCGTGATCCAGTCTTCTAATGACTTACGACACATCTCTGGTCAAGAGAACATTGTAGTTGATGCCCTTTCTAGCGTCTCCGCAATTAATATCGCCTGACAGGCAATGGACCCATCTGCCATGGGCGCGGCGTAACAAAATCGTCATATTCATCTGTGAAAATGACTTTACACTCACTGCCGTCATCTGGTGGCACTATGCTTTGCGATACATCCGTCGGACATCTACGTCCAGTCGTCCCCGAATACACAATGAACCAAGCGAATGTAAGAGGAATGTGATCGCCCTCATAGCGAAAATAAAAGAAGTGGGTTGGTTGACAGAATTGATAATTCAGGATTCGAAAGAGGTACCGATTTGGATGCATCGACGACGACGTAGTGACAGCAAGCACAGAAATGACGCAAAAGAAACACACTGACCAGGTAGCTGTCACCAACTGAAAAAGCACATAAATGTAACGTAGAATTGTCTCACAGTTGTAAAACACTTGATGCCGTTGCAAACAGGTGCACCAATGGACTCACTCGGATAGTTAGACTGTGAGAACAGAGAAACAGGCAAAAGTGGGCTAAGTGGTATTATACATACTTGGTAAACGTCTACCAGATGCTGCGCAGTGATTTGCGGTTTGACAGCATCTTGGAGATCGGTGATGTGGTCAGCTAGCTGATACCGCACTCTCCAAGATTTGTCCTCAGCAGCTCCACGAACGACAGGAATAACACGCGATAAGATGTCCTCTGGCGGTAAGACTTCCGCAAACTCGACCGAAGCATTCACACAAAGAAGGCGAACGGAATCTTGGTCATCATGCTAAAAGAGTCGAAACAGAAATGTGTCAGGATTGAATAGTAAGTCGTATAGGTGACCGAGAAAAAGGGTTCAAGAGGAGCACAGATAGGAAAGGAAAAAAGTGTATTCAGCAAACGTGAGTTAGGGAAGCGGAAGTAATAGTATATGACAACGTTGGTGACGTCCGTTTTCTCGTACAACTCAACTGAAGCGTGTGAGGAAGATAGTGCTGTTCACGAATTAGGGCCAAAAAGGCCGCGCAGAATGTGAGGCCATGCTGCACACTTTTCGATTACGCTCACACTGAACAAGAAGCTAATGCATGTTGAGTGAAAGCCATGCGTAACAGACAGACCTGTGAGCGGGTGGTGCTATGTTCGGCGAAATCGAGGCATTTCAGCTAACAGGCAATGACAGAAGCGTTAATGAAGTCAAGTCGGAAACGTTTTATAAAATCCAAATGTATATTCTTGATGTTACACGAGGCACATCAGTGAAAAAAGACCGCAAGAAAATGTCCGCGATGTTCACTTTGGAATGCGCAAGGCTATGTAGATGAGATGTAAAGATAAATTGCTTTCCTGTAGATGGGAATAACATTAGCGTCGGCAATAGTGCATAGGACAAGTGCCTGAGTGATCCAGTCCTACCTAACAACCCAATGCGAACTATTAACAGAAAGCAAGATGGGCTGCAGTTCCCAAGTCCAAGTTATTTCCCAAGCTATAACTATGAGTCAAATGATAGGGTGGAGAAGAGTGGATAGGATAGTCCAGGGGCGGTTGTGAGATAACAAATGTAACGCCACTCTCCATTAATATAATAGCGATATCCTTTTTGATCATTAACAAGGAATCTTTCTAAAAGCTGATCCGTTCGAACAAGCCAGCAAATCGAGGTAGCAAGAGAATGAGGCAGTTCAAGCAAAATACTGTAACGACTAGCAGGACGGTCGATGTAAGCAGTGAAAGGAAAACGGTGAAGCGCCCCACGTTCGATTAGTACAACAACGCATCAGCATTATATACTGGCACTTTGTGATCATACTGTCTTGATAACAAGAGAGAGAACCAGTGAACCGGAAGCAAGACGTTTGCGCCTCAACAACAGATGACTATCATGCAACAGTAAAGTGATACTGGTAAGATTGTCTACTTGCGGACAGACAAAGTAACACTAAGCATACATTAATTCGACTGGGGTATGACTGTAAACGCATCAATGATGCGAAAAATGTCCCATGAGAGACTGAATAAAGCACACCGCACGTCGAGTGAAATGCAAATCGGAAGGGAAGACAAACTAACAGCACACATGACAGTGGTTAGTGGATACATTTCCAGCTGACAGGTAAATAATAGTCACTCTCGGGCCTTAAGCCATTCTGGATCAGAAAACCGAAACAAAGACCTATTCGGTGAGCGGGCTTATGCAGCACGTTCTAAAGCCAAAAGGCCTTGGTGATGACAATGGAAGTGATAAAGCAGACGAAAGCGGAGATAGAGTGAAACATGAGCAATGAAGAACAAGGTATCCTCTCAATAAGAATATACCAACGAATTCAGTGGCAAAAAGTAGAACCACAGGACATAGGCGGTTCTTTTCCCCATTGTCAATTTATCAGTACACAACATTTCAAAGCACAGCTCGGTGGTCATCACCGTTAACCTACATGTCAACTGAAGTTGAGAACCACCTCAGCTACATTGCCGCAATAAAATGCAGAAAGATATTCGAAACAAGTAAAATAAACAAGTGCTGGTTTCAGAGCGATTTGTGAAAAATCGGTTACTTTATTTGTTTGACTATGTCTCGCTCTGTACACATGAGAATATTCGGGCCAGGTGAACTAGCGAAAGGTTTACTTGACTTTTAAGACAAATGATATGATATGATAATGGGAGAAATAACCAGTTTCAGTAGATACTTGTGGTTGCAGTTTCGATGGGTCAAGAGGTCAGCCATTCACTAGAGCGCTCGACAAGTTTGTAAACATCCTTTACAGTCACACGTCGGGCAAAGTCAGGGCTTACGGCACGCTCTCTTCTTCATATGCTGTGACCAGCAGTGTTCCCCAAGGTTGCCCTATTTCACTTTTCCTCTTCAATTTCGCAATCGAAGATGTTGTCCAAAGAGCACTGGAAGATGTCCAGAAATGCGGTTTGTTACACTCAACCGAAATCAGAACAACAGTATTGCAAATGGAAGTTTAGTAGAAGCAATGGCAACAGTACATTGGCGGTCCACACTGGGTACAAGATCAACTGTTTAATTTTACGCAGTCCACATGTTTTAGCTAAGCACTCGTTTTTGAACCAATCAATAAGCATCGCTGGTTAGTCGGGAGATGCACACTCACGCACTAGAGCGCACAATGCAGCTCCACAGCCGAGGTAGTGTAGCATGACCTTGACGCGCTCAACGTTTGTATCACTTTTCCCACCTTTAGTTGGAGTTATCCAGTTTGGAAACGATCGACCGGTCGGCGTCGGCGCTCAGAGCGCCGCAATTGTGACTCAGTTACCGGTTCGGCGTCACGCGCGTGCATGTCGTTTGATGCTTGAGCTGGCTGCTCTGTCTCGGCAACTCTGTGTCGGACAATCTCGATCGCACATGATCTAAACGGCGTCGAACGATCTTGCCATCCTCAGTCTCTGCTTCTATTATATGTCCGTTAGTTGTTTTAACGACGGCTGGCTCCCACCCCGAGCCTGTAGGTAAGCGGATGTAGATGGGATTTGAAGCTCTCACATGCTTGTCTCTGCTAGAAGTATCAAAACGCTCTTTCACTCGTTGTTGTTTTTCCGAAACTTGTGGCTCAATAGATCTATGCAATAAATCCAATCGTGTACGCAGTCGACGACCAAACATTAACTCTGCGGGGCTTCCGCCTGTGGTCTAGTTTGGCATGTTTCGATATGCGAACAAGGAACGATACAAACGCACACGCAGCGGAGCATTTGGTTGTTTTATTAGCAGCTTCTTCACTGTTTGTACGGCTCTCTCCATCAACCCATTAGAAGAAGGATGATAGAGTGCAGTTGTTATGTGTTTAATGCCGTTCGAGTTGAGGAAGGTAGAAAAGTAAACACTGGCGAATGCTGGTCCACTGTCAGATACTAATGTCTCGGGAAGGCCAAATGTTGTGCGTAGTTTCTCTATAGTACCAGCTGAATTTGCTGAAACAAGAATATGGGCACCAATCCATCTAGAATGGGCATCGATGATTAGCAAAATCATCCGAGCTTCGTAGGGACCGAAATAGTCTATGTGGACTCGTTTCCAGGGTGTTTCTGGCCACTTCTAAGGCTGCATTGGCGCATGAGGAGCGGCGTTTCGGCTCTCCTGGCAAGGTCTGCAACTTCCAACCTTCGCCACAATATCACGGTCTAATTCAGGCCACCACACATAAAATCGAGCTAACGACTTCGTCTTCGCGACACCTGGATGCGCATCATGTAATTCGTCAAGGATACGTGACCGAAATTTCTTGGGGACAATAACTCGTGCGCCCCACAGCAAGCATCCATTCTGGAGACTGAGTTCAGACATGCTGTTACGGAAGGGCATGAGTTCTTTGGGGGTGTTGTCCGGCCACCCAACTTGGACAAAGCGTTTGACCAACGATAGAACAGAGCCTCTGTCAGTTACCTGACGTATGTCTGTACATGTGACTGGGAATCATTAAAATGCTGGACCAAGTATACGAGCTCTTGTGGGATAAATTCTTTCGATGGTGTCTCTGGTAAGGGAAGCCGGCTAAGAACATCAGCGGTGGTATTCTGTTTGCCTGGAACGTACTGAATTTCGTATGCATACGCAGAAAGAATAAGCGACCAACGTACCATTCTAGGTGAAGCCATTTGTTGAATACCTTTTTCGTGGCCGAGGAGGAAAACAAGAGGTTTATGATCCGCATGGATCACGAAAGGTCGCCCGAGTAAATATTGGTGAAATCGAATGGTGTCGAAGATGACAGCGGCTGCCTCTCGATCACGTTGAGAGTAGTTCCGTTCTGCTGGTGTCAGGGTTCTTGAAGCATAAGCAATGGGACGTTGAGAGCCATTCGGTAATTTGTGCATTAAAACAGCTCCGAGACCGTAAGGTGAGGCGTCACAAAAAAGAACAATAGGCTTCTTCGGATCATAATGCACAAGAACATCTGCAGATGCTAAGAGCTTCTTGACCGCGTTGAATGCATTTTCATAAGTATTGTTCCAATTCCAGCTTTGGTTTTTACGTAGCAGCTGGTGAAGCGGATGTAGATGAGTTGCTGCCGATGGTATAAACCTGGAAAACTGAGTGACAACACCGAGGAACGACCGCAATTCATGACCATTTTTGGGTGCTGGCGCCTTAAGTAGCGCCTTTGTCTTTTCTTCCAGTGGGTATAATCTTTCACGTGACAACCGATAGCCAAGATACTGTACACTCGGAACAAGGAACTCACACTTTTCTCTTTTTAGAACCAAACCGGCATCCGATAATCACTTCAGGACGATGTCCAGTGTATGTAAGTGCTCGGCGGTAGTTCGTCCAGCAATTAAAATGTCATCTAAGTACGCACATGTGTTTGGTATATCTTTCACGAGTGAGTCAATAATACGTTGAAAAATAGATGGAGCCGAGCTTATTCCAAAAGGCATGCGTATATAGCGGAATAATCCGAGGGGAGTACTAATGGTGGTGTACGTGCGTGATTCCACATCGAGTTCAATTTGTTGGTAGGCATGAATCAGATCTAGTTTTGTAAATAGATCACCACAGGAAAGGGAAGCGTAAATGTCTTCAATCTTTGGTAGCGGATATCGGTCTAATTCTAACGCTCGGTTTATCGTAACCTTGTAATCCCCGCAGATTCTTATCGTACCATCGCTCTTCAATACTGGCACAATGGGGGCTGCCCAGTCTGAATACTGGACGGGTTCAACGGTACCTTCCAACTGGAGTCGGCGCAGTTCACCTTCGACCTTATCATGGAGGGCATACGGAACAATGTGAGCTTTCCAGAACCGCGGTTT